CCCCCCCTGTCCCATTCCTAAATTAACCCCCCAATTAACCCCCCGCCATAATTAACCCATCCCCACTCCATGGGAACACTGTTCCCAGTTCGGGAATTTTGTTCTCAGTTCGGGAATTCTGTTCCCAGTTAGGGATTTCTGTTCCCAGTTCCCAACTCAAACCTTCCCAGGGCCGCTCTGAGCTCACCCGGATTTGGGGTTTGGGGTCCCCCCCCATCCCAGGGAGTTGCGTTCCACTGGAAATGCCACCCGGGATACCGGGATGTCACCTCTGTTATAAATCCATATTACAGTATCGGCTTTTCACAAATATTACGGTGGATACTTTATGTGTGGTGTTGAATGAAATGTTTTTTTTTAAGATAAAGTTTTCTCTAGGAGTAACCATGGACTGATAGTGTTTTTGTAATAAGTAAATCGCCTGTTTAATTAGATAACACCCATTAAGAAACCTGCTACTGATACACCAGCTACCAGCACCCACGGCCTGCAGAAATTAAAGACCACAGCCCAAATTAAGACTGATTTAAAAAATAAATTAAAACAACAGCCAAGAAACACGCATGCTCTAAAAAGGCGGACTCGAGGAGTAGCCATGCAAAATGGTTATTGGAATATGGCAAACAGTTTGTAGAAAAGTTTGAAAATGTAAAATAAATCTACGAATTTGCAACGGGGATATTTTATTTAATTTAAGGGGTGTCTCCAAAACAGCAGGGGTGCTCTTGGCTGAAGGCCCCATAACCTTTTGCTTTTATTATTTGTCTCTTATTGTCTCTTATCAATTTTTTTTAATTTTACCAGGAAAATGAACCTCGTTTTTCACACCTCTGTCCCCTCCGAGCGGGGTCAGAGGGGTTTGGGACATCGGGATGTCACCTCTGTCCCCTCCTGGCGGGGTCAGGGGGGATCCCCCGAGGGGACCGGGGGGTGGCCCGGATGTGTCGCTGCCCTTTGCACAGGATGCGGCCGCAGGAAAATCCAACTTTCCTGGAAACCGCTTCAAAGTGGGCCCAGGGATGCTGGGAAGCCACGGTAGATCTGTCCCCTGTCCTTGTCCTCTCTGTCCCCATCCCTGTCCCCCATCCCTGTCCTCAATTCCCACGGTTCCACCCGAGCTGTCCCATCCCCGTGTGCCACCCCTCAGGGATTCCCGGAGGGATCGAATTCCCTGGAATTCCCTTGCCGGGGTTGAGAATTTTTGGGGTGGGGGGGCAATTCCAGAAGAGCGCTCCGGGCACCGAAATGGAATGGGGGGAATCGAATTCCACGATTTTGGGGCGGGAAGAAATTCCAGAAAATTCCAGGGATGCGCTGGGCACCAAAATGGGATGAAGGAATGGAATCCCACTTCTTTTTCCCCCTTCCCTCCTGGAACAATTCCAGCGCCAGCGCCCTGATAACCCGGGAGGATGGAATTCCCTGGAATTCCCGTGCCAGGGGTGGGAGTTTTGGGGCAGGACACAATTCCAGACAATTCCAGGGGCGCCGAAATGGGATGGAGGGATGAAATCCCAATTTTTTCATCCCTCTCCACTCCAGGAACAACAACCCTGGTGTCCTGATAACCCGGCGGGATGGAATTCCCACGCCGGGGCTGGGAATTTCGGGGCAGGACAGAATTACAGACAATTCCAGACAATCCCAGGGGCGCCGAAATGGGGTGGAAGGAATAAAATCCCCTTTTCTATTTGCTTCCCCCCCCCCCCACCTCCACTCCAGAAACAATCCCAGCGGCAGCAGAAGCTGTGCCCGGATAACCCGGCGGGTCCCCGGGAGCATCCGGCACGGCAGGAAGGAGCCCGGCAGGAGGAAATATTAAATCCTGGGATATAAACACCGCGCCGGGAGCGGCTCCACCCCACCACAACCCCCCTAAAAAACGAGGTCCCGCCGGGGTGGGGCCACCAGAAGCGGGGCGAGGATGGAGAAGAGCAGTTTCGCCATGGCGAAATTCGGTTTGGAGCACAAGGAGGCGATGCCAAAGCGCGACTGCGGTTTTTATGTTAAATATATTTTCCTTTTCACCTCGCTGATCCAATTCCTGATCATCCTGGGGCTCGTGCTGTTCATGGTGTACGGCAACGTCCAGGCGGGCACCGACACTCACCTGAGGCTGCTGGAGGAGCAGGTGCAGAGCCACTACGGCAGGATGGTGGCCTTGAGTGCCACCAATGCCAACCTGAGCCGTGCCCTCAATGCCACCCTCAAGGACAAGGACAAGCTGCAGGGGATGGCGCTGAAGGTGCAGAGGGAGCTGGAGAAGTGTAACAGCAGCCAGAATTCCAACGGCGGGCCGCAGGTGAATCCCGGGATTTGGGGAATGCCAGGGGAAGGGCTGGCACAGCCGGAGGGTGACGCGGGTGTCGCCTCCTCGTCCCCTCTGGGGGTGGTGACGAGGGAAGCGCCGCAAGGACCAGAGGGGGTTTGGTAATCTCGGGGATTTCTTCCTCATCCTCTTCCTCCTGTGCACCCAGAGCTCTCCCAAAGCTCACCAGGGGATGCCAGGGGGTCTTTTTGGGGTGCTCTGATCCCTCTTCCTCCTCGTCCTCCTTCTCTCCAACTCCCGGCGCCTCGTGCTCGAGCTGGTTTTGGGGTGTTCTGACCCCTCTCCTCCACTTCCTCCTCCTCCCGTTCCCTCAGAGCTCTCCCAGCTCCCACGAGGTGACCCCGGGGGGTCCCTTCGGGATTCTCTGACTCTTCTTTCCTTCCTCTTCCTCCTCTTCCTCTTCCTCATCCCCGGCCCTCTCCCAGAGCCCCTGAAGAGGTGCCAGGGGGAGGTTTTGGGGTGCTCTGACCCCTCTCCTCTTCTTCCTCCTCCTCCTCCTCTTCCTCATCCCCCGGGCTCTCTCTGTCGCCTGTGGGGACCGGGATGGTGCCGGGGGTGGTTTTGGGCTGTTGTTTTGTTTGTTTTCGGGGTGTTCTGACCCCTCTCCTCCTCCTCCTCTTCCTCATCCCCCGGGCTCTCTCTGTCGCCTGTGGGGACCGGGATGGTGCCGGGGGTGGTTTTGGGCTGTTGTTTTGTTTGTTTTCGGGGTGTTCTGACCCCTCTCCTCCTCCTCCTCTTCCTCCCGCCCAGCTGCACGAGCTCGTGTACCAGCAGGTGAAGCTGACCCAGTGCCACATGCTCACGGCCCTCATCAACAGCAGCTGCAATGGTAAGATACCCCCCCGCACCCCCAAAAAAAAATCCTGGGGAACCCCCCCCCTCCCCCCCATCCTGGGACCCCCAGAATCTCCTTCCCACCCCTCTGGGGACCCTCAACATCCCCTCCCCACCCTTCTGGGAACCCTCAGAACCCAATGAGGATCCCAGAATCCCCTTCCCATCCCCTTTGGGACCCCCAGCACACCCTGAGGATGCCCAGAACCCCCTTCCCACCATCCTGGGCGCCCCCAACACCCCCTCAAGACCCCCAGCCCCCCTTTCCCACCCTTTGGAGTCCCCAAACTCTCCCTTCCCACCCACCTGGGCACCTCCAGCACCCCTTGAGGATTCCCAAGCCCCTCTACCTACCCTCTTGGGGACCTCCTGCACCCCCTTCACATCTTCCAGGGGACCCCCAGCGCCCCCTGAAGACCCCCAGCCCCCTCTCCCCACCCTTTGGAGCCCTCCAATTCTCCCTTCCCAACTTCCTGGGGACCCCCAGCACCCCCAAGTGACCCGTACCACGCAGAGGCATCACCCCAAACCACGGTGTGACACCCGGGGATCCCAAATCCCCCCTCCCCTGACCCAAACCCTGTCCCCCAACACCTCCCAAGCCGACAAGCTGGAGCTGCAGCGACAGCTGGACCAGGCCAGGTCATCCATAAAAACCCTGGAGGAAAGGAACCAGCAGAGCAGAGCCGAGCTGATCAAAGCCACCCAGGAGAGGGACAAGTGCCAGCAGGACCTGAAGAGCGCCAGGACCGAGGCTGACCTGAGCAGGGTGGAGCTGGAGGTGCAGAAACACAAATGCAGCTCCCTGCATAGCGACATAAGTGAGAAATTCCCGAGGATTTTGGAGCTGGTGAAGCAATACCGGTGTGGAGAAACTGAGAACGAGCTGAGGCAGATCCGGGCTGGCGTGGAGGGTTTGTTCCGCCAGCAGCAGGAGCGGGATTCCCAGTTTATCCCGAGGAGGAGCTGCGAGCTGAGCGTGGAGCGTTGTCACCTGAACTGCTCTCGGGAAATGCAGGAGCTGGAGAGGAGGATCCAGGGGCTGGAGAAGAGGGAGAAGGACGGGCTGGAGGACAGGAAAAGGCTGGAGGGGGAGAGAGACAAGGCGGGGAAGGAGCTGGAGGAGAAGAGGAGAGCGGCGGTGGCGCAGGCGGAGACGCTGAGGGGGCAGCTGGTGGCATGCATGGCCAAGGTGGGGACATGGGGACATCCTTGGGGACATGGGGGCTTGCAGACATGGGGACATGGGGACAGGAGGAATTGGGGACATTGGACATTGGGGCACTGGGGACATGGGGACATTGGGGACACAGGGACATGGGAAGTTCCTTGGGGACATGGGGACATGGGAACATGGGGACAGGGGGACATGGGGACACGGGCGGTGGCACAGGCGGAGATGCTGAGGGGGCAGCTGGTGGCATGGCCAAGGTAGGGGCATGGGGACATCCTTGGGGACATGGGGACATCTTAGGGACATCTTAGGGACATGGGGACATGGAGATATTGGGGACATGGGGACACGGATAATTGGGACATGGGGACATCTTAGGGACATGGGGCATTGGGGACATGAGGACATGGAGAATTGGGGCATTGGGGACATGGGGACTTCGTTGGGAACATGGGGACATGGGCAGTGGTGGTGAAGGGAAAGTCACTGAGGGGGCAGCTCGTGGTGTGCATGGCCAAGGTGGGGACATGGGGGGACATGGGACACTGGGGACATGAACACGGGCACCTCTGCACTGAGATTTTCCTTCCTGACTCCTGGATTTGGTTTGTGAGGAGAATTTCCCACTGACCAGTGCCCCCCCCTGTCCCCCAGATGCCGCACCTGGAGCTGCCGGGCTCGCGGGTCCCACTCAGCCCCGGCCGCTCTGGCTCCTTCCCCGGCTCGGGCCCCTACATGGAATTCCTGGGGAACCCGGCCACGCTGGGCACCATGGGTGAGTCCTGTAGAGACTGGGGACACCCGGGGGACACTGTGTCATCCCATAAATCCCATAAATCCCATCCCATGGATCCCATCCTATGGATCCCATAGATCCCATGGATCCCATGGATCCCATCCCATCCCATCCCATCCATCCCGTCTAATAAAGCCCATAAATCCCATCCCAATCCCATTGATCCCAATCCCATGGATCCCAATCCCAACCCCACCAGGAAGGAAGAACCTGGAAGATGTCCAGCGGATGCTGCAGGTGATGGAGCAGTACCTGAAGAGCCCCAGGTGAGTGACACAGGTGACACAGGTGACACAGAGGTGACACACAGGTGACAGGGGTGACACGAGGGTGACACACAGGTGACACAGGTGACACAGGGGACACGGGTGACACCGGTGGCACTGGTGACACACAGGTGACATTGGTGACATGAGTGACACAGGTGACACCGGTGCCACCACGCCGGTCCCCTGCTCCCGGACCTGCCAGTGACCCCAATCCCATTTTCCCACAGGGGATAACGCCGTAAAAATATCCCTGGAATAGCAGGAGCCGCCCAGGAGGTGCTGCCCGCAGCACGGATGGCACATTGTCCCCTTGTCCCCATGTCCCCAACCCCACCCCGCGTGTCCCCAAAGGATGTAACCCCCCCTGGCTGGAGCGGGACAACAGCCAGCCCCGAATTTGGGGACAACTCGCTGGTGGTGTGCGTGGAAATCCATGGAAAAATGGGACTGGGGAGAGGGAATTCCGTCCTGGATCGGCACAGAGGGGTGGGAAATGTCTGAGGGATGTCCTTGTCCCCAAGGGACAGGGATGTCCCTGTCCCAAAGTCCCGAATTTGGGGACAATTCGCTGCTGGTGTGTGTGGAAATCCATGGAAAAATGGGATTGGGGAGTAGAAATTCCATCCTGGATTGGTACAGAGGGGTGGGAAATGTCTGAGGGATGTCCTTGTCCCCAGAGGACGAGGGACCGCGCTGTCCAGAGCAGGGCAGGGATTTTTTCCCAGGATTTAGTACCAGGATTTTTTCCAAGGATTTATTCCCAGGATTCATTCCCAGGATTTATCCCCAGGATTCATTCGCAGAATTTATTCCCGGGATTTATAGCCGCCTTTCCTGTGGAAAATCCTTTTCCTGCCTCGCCGCCCCTGTCCGCACGCCAGGCTCTGCTCGGCGCCACCGAGTGTCCCAAAGTGTCCCGAAGTGTCCCAAAGTGTCCCTTGTCCCCTCCCCTGTCCCCTGCACCACCTCAAGTGTCCCCAAACCGGGATAGTGGCACCGCCACCTCCTGCCACCCCTCCGAGCATGGCGATACCACCGTGTCCCCTCCCCCTCCACCCCTTCCTGCCCAGCGCCAGGATGGGATCGCGGTGACAAAAGTGACGAAGTGACAAAGTGACAAATTCTCACCGTCCCTGAAGGTCTCCGGCACTGCCAGAGGATTTCCTGGAATTCCTCCATGGATAATCTCGGAGCTCCAGGCGCTTCCCGAGCCCTGCAGGGCCGGGGGAGGTGGCACAGGGTGAGGGGGGAGGTGGCACGGGGATGTCCCCAAGAGATGTCACCACCCTGAGGGTGGCAAAGCCACCAACAGGACCCCACATCTGCCATGGCTTGGGGGAATTCCATGGATTGGGATGGATCCCAGGATCCCAAATCCCTCCTGCTGAATCCTTGGGGACACAGGGATGTGTCCCATGTCACACTGGGGATGGGGACACCCCAAGGTGAGGAACACAAGGGGTGGCTTTTCCCTTCCAGCTCCTTGTTTGTCCCCTTGGCCAGGAAATGGGGAATTTTGGGGGATTTTTTCCAGGCCTTTTTTGGGTTTCTTTTCCGGACCTTTTCTGGGTTTTTTTCCCCACATTTAGGGTTTGGTGACACAATCTCAAACACAGCCACCAACGAGGGGACACCAAAGCCACCAAAGCCACCAAAGCTACCGTAGTTTAATCCCGGTGACGCCACAGCAATGGGGACGACCCCACAAAAATCCCTAAAAATGACATCCAGGCATTTGGGGTGGGGACATGGCGGGAGTGCGACATGAGATGGCAGCACAGAGGGGTTGGGGAGTGGTGGAGTCGGGATCGGGATCGGGACCGGAACACACACAGTGGGATCGGGATCAGGTCTGGGACACACAAGGGGATCGGCATCGGGACACGGCGGGATCGGGACATAAAATGGGATCGGGACAAGGAGGGATCGGGACACGCGGTGGGGTCGGGATAGGGACTGGAACACACAGTGGAATCGGGACACGCAGTGGGATCAGGATCGGGACACACAGTGGGATCGGGACACACCGTGGGATCAGGAGGTGCAGTGGGATCGGACCCTGTGGGATCAGTGCACATGGTAGGACGGGACATGATGGGACCGGAACAAGGGATGGGATCAGGACCCAATGGGATCAGGATCCAATGGGATCAGGACTAACGGGAACAGGGATCAATGGAATCAGGAATAAATGGGATCAGGAATCAATAGGATCAGGGATCAATAGGATCAGGAATAAATGGGATCAGGACCCAATGGGATCAGGGATCAATGGGATCAGGATCACGTCTCCCACCCCCAGCGCTCCCCGGGCTGTGCTGGCAGCTCCGGGGCCGGGACTGGGCCCCGCTGTTCCTGCGCTGGGGACACGGCGGGACCGGGAATGTCGCGATCGAGAACGGGAATGTCGCAATCGGCACCGGGAATGTCGCGATCGGTGGGGCGGGGTCGGGGGAGCTGCGGGGCCTCAGCTCTTCCTGCAAGGCGGGGGGACAGGGGTGAGTCCTGCTGCCCTGGAGACACGGGTGACAATGGCAGCGAAGCCACCATTCCTTGCTGTGCCCCCTCCTCGGCTGTCCCCCCTTCCCGGGATGTCCCCACTTCCCGGGATGTCCCCACTTCCCAGGGTGTCCCCTCTTCCCGGGATGTCCTCTCTTCCCAGATTGTCCCCCTCTCTCAGATGTCCCCCTCGGGCTGTCCCCCCTTCCCTGAGCTGTCCCACTCAAGCTGTCTCCCTTCCTTGAGCTATCCCCACTTTCCCGGGGCTGTGTCCCCTCCTCGGAATGTCCTCCCCGGGCTGTGTCCCCTCCCCGAAATGTCCCCAAAGAGGTACCGGGCCGGGGGACACCTGCGGGCTGTGCCTCTGTCCCGGCCCCGCCTCCGCAGCGCCTCCAGCTCTGCCGCGTAGCCCCGGCTGTGGGGACAGGAACCACATGAGGGGGTGGCCCTGTCCCGAGGAGGGGACACGGGGGGTCCCCAAAGGGAGGAGGGACAGGGAAGGAGTGGGGGCCAGGGGCAAGGACAGGGAAAGGGAAAGGGAAAGGGAAAGGGAAAGGGAAAGGGAAAGGGAAAGGGAAAGGGAAAGGGAAAGGGCAGGAATGGGGAAACAGTGACAGGGACAGTGGGACAGGGACAGGGACAGGGACAGGGACAGGGACAGGGACAGGGACAGGGACAGGGGAGGAGGGGACTGGGGGGACACACGAGGGGTTCCCATGGGGAGGCGGGGACAGGGCAGGATGTCACAAGGGTGGCATGGTGGCTTCTTTTAGGGGGTGGCTGCTCTGGAGATGGCCCACCCTGCAGAGAGCGACAGGGACCTTACTGGGACGGGTGTCCTCTGGGGACAGGGACCTTACAGGGGGATGTCCCCGAAGGACCGGAAGGTGTCCCCGAGGGACAGATGGATGTCTCCGGAGGACAAGGACCTTACAGGGGATGTCCTCTGGGGACAACGGCCTTACACTGGGTGTCCCCAAGGGACAGGGGGATGTCTCCGGGGTAAAGGACCTTACAGAGGGATGTCCCCGAGGGATAGGGGGATGTACCCAGGGGACAGGGACCTTACAGGGTGTCCTGGAGCTGGCTCTGTCGCGCCTCGCAGCGCTCCCGGCGCTCCCGCAGCTCCCGCTGCCGCTCCAGTTCCTCCCGCAGCCGCCACCGCAGCTCCCGTGCCTGCTCCGAGCCCCGCGCCACCTCCTCTGGGGACAGCGGCGACACCGGCATTACCCCGGCACCGAGCACACCCCGCCACCCCCCTGCCGGCATCACGGCTCACCTTGCAGTGTCGCTTTGTGACGGGCCAGCTCAGCCCGCTCGCGCCGCAGCGCCACCAGCTCGTCCCCCAGCGCTGTGACATTGGTTTCCAGCCTGGCCTGGGGACAGGGGACACGTGGGGACAGCGGTGGCAGTGTCCCCCCCAGCCCCCTACCCCCGGCTCTTCATCCTGCTCCTCTGCCTCACTGTCACCCCGTGTCCCCAAGCTGTCCCGACGCTCCTGGTGGCTTTGAGTGCCCCTCTCATCTTCCTCAAAAGGTTGGGGACAGGGATTTGGGGACAGGAATTAGGGGACGTGGATTTGGGGACACAGATTTGGGCACACGGATTTGGGGACAATCCCTCTTCCCTGAAGGGGTGGCTCTGCCTGAGCATGGGAATCACAGGACAGCGCCAGGTCACCCATGTCCTCAAACTCCTGGTGGCCTTGGTTTTCTGTCACACTCCCATCGTGTCCCTCAAAGAGTTGGAGGCACGGATTTGGGGACACAGATTTGGGGACAATCCCTGAAGTGACGCTGATCCTGGGGGAGATGTGACCTTTCCCGGCAGTCCGAGGTCACCCCGCGGGTGGCACCGCCGGTGTCAGGGAGGGGACAGCAGCTCTCCAAGAGCCAGCCCAGCCCAGCCTGGGCCACTTTCCGGCCACTCCGGGCTATTGTTCAGCGGGATGAGCCCAAGAGGGGCGGCGGGACCCGGCTCTTCCTCCGGGCCCTTTTCCCGCCTGGAACCGCAGCTAAAAATACTCGGGAAGGACAAACCGGGGAGCTGCAGCCCCCGCTGCGGCCTCGGCACCTGGTAATTACCGGGATGGAGGCACCGGGCACGGCCGGGAATAGCTGCACCCGCCGGGAGGGGGATGAGAGGGGTGGAGCCGGGAACGCATTTTTGGGGTGTCCCCTGCAGGGATGTGACCGCTCTGTCCCCCTGGGATCATCCCAGGCTCTTTTCTGGGGTGTCGCCTGCAGGAATGTAGTGGCTGTGCCCCCCTGGGAGCACCCCTGGCTCGTTTTTGGGGCGTCCCCTGCAGAGATGTGACAGCTGTGCCTCCATAGGATGATACCGGGAGCATCCAGGGCTCTGATTTTGGGGTGTCCCCTGTTGGGATGTGACGGCTCTGCCTGCTTCAGGATCACCCAGAGCGCTCATTTTGGGGTTTCCCCTACAGGGATGTAGTGGCTGTGCCCCCCGGCAGCATCCCGGGCTCGTTTCTGGGGTTCCCCTATAGGGATGTGAGAGCTGTACCCCCCTGAGAGCATCCAGGGCTCCATTTTTGGGATGTCCCCTGCAGGGTTATGACAGCTGTACCCCCCCCAGAATGCAGCCCAGAGCATCCAGGGCTCTGTTTTTGGGGTGTTCCCTCCAGGGATGTAGTGACTGTGCCCCCCCGGCAGCATCCAGGGCTCGTTTTTGAGGTCTCCCCTGCAGGGATGCTCCCCCTCTGGTGGCCGTGCCCGTTTCCCAACTCCTCATCCCGGCTGGAATTTCCTGGGGCTTTCCTGGTGGGAATTCCCACAGGGATGGAGCAGCCCCTAATCCTGGCTGGGACAGGGACGGAGGGACAGGGGACAATGCTGAGGGGACAGGGGGTGTCCCATTCCCCTCCCAGTTCCTATTTTCCATTCCCAATTCCCC